TCTTCAAATTGATGGAACTAGAAAAGATCATCCTGAGTGAAGTAAACCAGAAGCAAAAAGACAAATATGGTATACTCACCCATACGTGGATATCGCCATATAATACAGGAAAACCATAATAAATTCCATAGACCTAAAGAAGCTAAATAACAAGGAGGACTATAGGGAGAATGCTTAATTCTCATACAGAAGGACAAACAGAATAGACACTGGATGCAGTTGAAGAGCGAGAACAGGACAGGAGCCTACCATAGACGTCCTCTGAAAGACTCCACCCATCTAGAAATCAAAGCAGATGTTGAGATTCACAGCCAAACTTTCAGCAGAGTGCATGCAGGTATAGGGAAGAGTAGAGGTATAGAAGGACCTGGAAGGAACATGAGCCCTATAAGAAAAATAGAGCCAACAAATCTGTGTGCAGGGGGTCCTGCAGAGACTGATGCACCAACCAGGGACCATGCATGGAGACACGACCTAAGCCCCCTGCTCAGAGGCAGCTCAGAGTCCATGTGGGTTTCCTATTAAGGGAAGCAAAGAGGAGACTGTGTTGCCTCCTCTTTGATCACTTACCCCTGGTGGGGTGACCTTGCCAGGCCATAGAGGAAGAGAATTCAGGCAGTATTGATGAGACTTGATAGGCTGGGGTCAGATAGTAGGGGAAGAGGGCTCCCCTTTTCAGGGGACTAAAGAAGTGGGGATAGGAAGGAAAAGGGAGGGAGGCAAGATGGGATCAGGAGGAGACAAGGGAGGGAGCTACAATTGGAATGTGAAGTAAATAAATTATAAGCAATAAATTTAAATTTAAAAAAGGTGAAAATGCTGGTCCACCACGACCACAGCCTCCTCTACTACTGTCAACAGGACCACCACCACAGTTGCCACCCCCACCTGTAGTAGAGGAGGCTGTGGTGGTGGTGGACCAGGATATGGAAAACAAGGTGGTGGATATGGTGGAGAAGGAAGAGGATACGATAGTCACAGTGACGAAGGAAATTTTGGTGGAGTTAACTAAGGTGGTGGTGGGAACTATGATGACTTTGGAAATTATAGCGGACAAGAGCAATCAAATTATGGACCCATGAAGGGTGGGGGGGGCAGTTTTGATGGAAGACGCTCAGGCAGTCCCTCCGGTGGTGGCTATGGCTCTGGTGGTGGAAGTGGTGGATATGGCAGCAGAAGGTTTAAAAAGAAATAGTAGAAAAAGCTACAATTCTTAGCAGGAGAGAGGAGTGAGGAGTTGTCAGGAAAGCAGCAGGCTACTTTAAGACAGTGGTCCCAAATGCATTAGAGCAACTGTAAAAATCTGCCACAAGAGGAACAATGATCCGTAGTCAGAAAAGTTACTGCAGCTTAGCAGGAACCCTTCTTGTTCAGGACTGTCATAGCCACAGTTTGCAAAAAGTGCAGCTCTTGATTAATGCGATGTGGTGTCAATTAGATGTACATTCCTGAGGTCTTTTATCTGTTGTAGCTTTGTCTTTTATTTTTCATTACATCAGGTATATTGCCCTGTAAATTGTGGTAGTGGTACCAGGAATAAAAAAAAAAAAAAAAAAAAAAGGAAAATGCAAAAATAAAAATTAAAAAAAAAAACATTCTAACAAAATAGCCAGGTGCAGTGGCACACACCTATAATCCCAATACTCAGGGAGGCAGAGGCAGGCAGATCTCTGTGAAGCCAGCCTGGTCTACAAAGGGAGGCCAGAATAGCCAAGGCAACACAGAAAAACTCTGTCTCAAAATTTAAAAAAAAAAAGCTTACAAGTACTATCATTCATATAATTTATTTTCTTTTTAACTTTTAAAAACAGATAAAGTTTGTCAGTGAACTTAAGAAAGTCAAAGCTTAGGACAGCATCCTCAAGTCATGTCAAATTTATAATAAAAATAGGTTAAGAATATATTCTTTCAAAGGCATGAGCATGAAATAGAGAAAACTGAAAGCCCAGCCTTTGAGCTGTCTGTGTAGGCAGCTCTCCAACAGAGCAGAAAGAGCAAAAGAGCCAAGTAAAGAATCTTTGGCCATAGAATCAGAGGAGTAGCCTCAGGGGTAGAACAAGAAAGGAAGTTCTCAGAGAGGTGCACACAGTTTTCTACGTGCACGCGTGGGACATACCTGCCAGACCAAATCAGGGCCAAATTTAAAACGCGAAGATTCCTGCAAGAAGATAAACCATCAGTGACTTCATTCCTTCCTTCCTGTCCTTTTCCCCCAGGAGACTTCAGCCCAGGCTTGACTGGTGGCAAGAGGTGTGTCTGCAGAAGACTGTTCTCTATTGGGACACAGATGCCTTCCCCAGGACTTTCCCTGCAGAGACTTCTGCACAAGCCAGCAAGTCTGTGGGGCATACAGCACTACCAGAAAGCGGTGGGCTGGAGCTCAAACAATGCTTGAGAGAAGCAGGATTTTGCAGATCTTCATAGCAAGACCCTTCGCTAAACTGATGCAAATATTTATAGAAACAAATGGGGTTCCAAACTTCCCCCTCAGTTTCCCTACAGAACAAAAGTCAATACGGAATATCCTGTCAGCTCTAATTCATGCCATTTTCCTGAAACTAAGAGACCTTTGAAAGGCTACTTTTGTATTTCTGAAGGTGTAATCCTGGGACAAAGAGACAGGAGAATCAGGAGTTCACTGTCACCCTTGGTTATATAGTAAATTTGAGGCCAACATGATGAGACATGAGACAGGAGACTGCCTTTAAAAAACAACCCATCCCTTTTCAACTTTAGATTTGGAAAAGCACCAGATGAAAACGATGATGTTTAGCCGTAGCCAAGACAAAAAGCAATCTCAAATTCCAAGCTTGAGTTTAAGTTCTGTTCAGTAGTCCCCTCTAAGGCTTGCCCTGTCTAGGTTCCCAACACCCCCTCAAGTTCTAAAGTTCAAAATTAACTAAGCTCAGAGCCACTGTCACAAGTGTATGTTATGTAGGATATGGCCCTGCACCAGGGGCCACTCTAATTCAGTTAAGGTGTGTGGAGTCGAGATGCGAAGGGGACCAGACTTCTCCATGGATAGAATAGAAGACAAAGCTCCTGAGAGCCGGGAGGCACCCAAAAGGACAACAGAACTTGGGCTCTGTTTCCTGGGATATACACTGATCTCTCATCTGTCCTAGAAATGTGATTCTATACCTACAACCTGCATTACCAACATCCATTGAAGAAAAATTTTAAGCTCAGTTTACTGCTTATATTAATTTCCTCTTATATTTTATGCCTTCCCACTTAGCTAGACTAAATAAATGTTCTTTGCTTTTCAATAATAAGATATGAAGCTAGAACAGCAAATAGAATAAAATTTAATTTCTACTTTAAACAATCACCAAAAATGTAGTTGTCTTTCAGTGGTGACATTTAACAAGGGAACACCTACCATACCAGGCAAGATGCCTCCCAAGAGATTTCTAGAACTCTATTTTCATTTAGAGAAATGGGGATTTGAAAATACATTATAGACATCCTTTTATTACTTTTTTGTGTTGAAGACTGAGGCAGTGAATGGAAAGGTAGGTAGATGGGATCTGAAACACACTTATAAAATAAAAAGCAACTCGTTTTTCTCTGTCTTTGTGTCTCTGTCTCTCTCTTGTGTGTGTGTTCGTGTGTCTGTTGATGTTTTGTTTTGGTTAAGCTTTTTAGTTTTAGATTTTTTACTTTTTCCCCTTCAATCTAATTTCAGGTTTGTCTGACATGTGAAGAAAAGTTGAAATCCCAGTGATGAACCACTGTTTCCTTTAAAAATAAAGTTACATGAAATAACAACCTATAAACTAGTATTAATCATTATTGCTTAATATTATTAGTATTTCATTCAAGTGATACTTTTCAAACCTGTTCAAGTGTCTCCTGAGTACCCAGATTCAGGTAACTGGCCTGGTAATACAGAGCTATGTAAAGTCAATGTTTTACACTATCATCACATTGACAAAGTCCTCGGTTAAAAACATTGTCACAGCCTAGTGAAGAAAAAACATCTCAAGTCACAATTGTATATGCCAAGAATTCAACAGCTCACATAAGTTTTTCTCTAGGGCTTGGAGGTTTTAACAAACAATTTGAAACCATGCTCTGTGAGACAGCAAAAGTCAGAGATCCACAAGCAAGCCTCAGGATTCCCATAGGCCAGGGGGTCTGGGAATCTCCAAGCATGAACTCAAGTATGGAATCTGCAGACTACAGATATATTTATGCTAAAAACATCTTCTCTTTAATAGACCAATTTAAATAAAAATATTCTTAAAATAAATATTTTTTACCATTTGTTTTTTTCTGGCCATAAAGGGGGGAGGGTTGGAAATAGAAGATTTCAAATGTCTAGCCTCTGACAAACCAAACATGTTCCATTAACATTTGTTTCTTGATCATAGACAGGAAGTGTCCATCACCACTGACTTGATTATTCCTCACATGCCATAAACTCTTGTCAGGATTTTTTTTTAATTCCTACAATAGTTTCTCTCTATGTCTCTCAATAGTACTTCTATACTTTGCAAGTATTTAAAATTATTCTTGCTTCCAGACTAGCCAGGAGAAAACACAGGAGTTAAAAGGAGGACTCATTCTCTGGCGAGAAAGTTCTGGGGACGGTAGAGTTTCCTGATGGAATGACTCCACAGCATCACCATGTCAAATCCTAGTTTCTCAAAGGTGCCACTTCCTTACAACTGGGGGCCAGGTGGAGCAGGACTGCTTGATTTAGAAGTAATCATTTGTAACGTTCAAACAAAAGGGCTCTTAAAGGCATCAGTCACAACTGTGGGCAGGAGCCAGCTCCTTTCAAACGAGGGCTCCTTGAGCCCTTTATATTTTTGCCTGGAAAGGCTCTTTAATTAAAGGGGCAATAAATGAAAGTCACTAAGAAAAGCAAAATGACCCAGAAGCGGAGCACCCTCACTGGTACCCTGGATTCATGCACGTGTTCGTCAGCCACTATCCAGTCACAACAAACTCCCCAGGTACAGCTGGTTCTGACAAACATCCTCCGTTCCTACCTTCATTTCGATGACAGTCTGGAGAGCCTTCGTTTTGGCTGGCTCCGGCTGAAGTTGGCTTCTTCGGTGCAATTCCTGGGGAGGAACACGATAGAAATAAGCCTGACGGTTCATCCTTCTGCTATACCATGACCTTTACACAGCTACCACACAGCCCACCAGGTCCAGGTTCCCTGGATGCAGACATAAACAAGCCACAGGTGCCTCTTCCCCCACACTCCTCAGCATCCCTCCTGCCTGCAGCCTGTGTTCCGGTGAAAGGCTCCTGGCACATGCGCTATTTCTGAAACTTCCATCAATAATTAATCAACTGTGACAGAGCCAGAAAGTAATCGTAGTCCAAACAGTGTTCAACACAGGCGGGTGCCCAGCCTTCAAATCATAATTTACTAAATTATATTACTCTGTGCTCCCAGCACAAACACGGCAAGGAGATCGAGGAAAGAAAATGACTAACTGTGCTGCAAATCTGCTGCTCCCATGGCATTCTGCTACTGAGGCAGGTTTGCAGTGAGCAACTGAAAGCCATTTCAGTACAACTGTGACACTTTCTGGAGTGGTCTCATGAGTCCCTGTGAATCTCTCGCTTCTGAATTTACACTTTCGGTTCCTGCTCAAAATCACATCTGTGGGTGATATGCTTACAGATCGTGACGCCAAGAAATTAAAATTGGCAATAAAATCAACTATGTCAAAGAAGATACAAAACTGGTCAAAGCCAGATGTACACCCAAGAACTCCTGCAAGGCTGAGATTCCCTTAGCTAAAGAACAAACAACGCCATTACCATGTTAAGCTTAAGGGCTCCCCTGCCGTATGCCTCTCTTCAAAAGAACTGTTTGCCACAACTCTGAAAAGTTATCTTAGCAGGAGAAATAAACAAAAACAAACAAAAACAACAACAACAAGGTTTGTTCGTGTCATGCTTTGATCTCCTTAACGAATATCAACAGTTTTGTGAAAGTCGTTACCAGAAGGGTAAACACAGAACTCACGTATGTAGGCTGCTGATACAGATCATTTACAAAGATTCCATTAAGATTTACTTCTGGGGAGCAGCCTTACCAGGCCACAGAAGATGACAATGCAGCCACTCCTGATGAGATCTGATAGACTAAGATCAGAAGGAAGGATAGAAGGACCTCCCCTATCAGTGGACTTGGGGAAGGAGGGTGGGATCAGGAGGGGGGGAAGGGAGGGGCTTATGGGGGATACAAAGTGAATAAAGTGTAATTAATAAAAGTTAAAAAAAAGATTTACTTCCAATTTAGAATCAACATGGAGTACCTGAAGGTTCTGAACTACTGGATCATTAAACATTAATTTTGTAAAAACTGAGAGGAGCAATATAATTTCAAGGTTTTCTCATGAAGGCTCTTAAAATGAACTACTTTTCATCACTTATACTTACTGTCACCACCATTCCATAAAGATAGGACACGGTGATGTACAAACTGTTAGAAAAACACATTCCACACTAAGAGATGGTCCTGTCCAGGACATGGCACATCAATAGGTAACTTTAATCAGTATCTTCCCTGGGCAACTTTTTACGCCAGTGACTAAGAAATCCTGACTGTGCCAAAGAGCAGACTGGGCACATGCTACCACCAGCCTGAGCTTGGGATTCTGAGAAGCATGCCCTACCCTCAATGTTCTAAGCAACATCAACCAGCAATCTTATGCAATATTGTTTCTCAAGCTCTGATTTTAAAACTTTCCCCTAATAATTAAAGAGCTCTCACGACAGCCAGCACATTTCTCCTGGTAACTCATCCTGAGGGGACAGTCCAGAGCTGCTGGCCCTCTTGTATGAAGAAGAAAACACAGAGAGGTCTCTGTCCTAGAGGCTCGTGACTGAAGGATCTGGTAACATGGGTGTCCATCTTTCAGCTCCCTGGAGGTGGCGAATACTATTGAAGGACTGAACTTATAGACAGCCGTCCTTTTTTGAGCATCTACTGTCCCTGGCACTGCTTGTTTCTTGAATATCTTGGCGCTAGAAAATGAGGAAGATGACTTAGAAAGTGACTCCAAGGTGCTTCTTGTAAATATATAAGTACTGTAGCCCCCCCATGGCCCACTTTGAGCCACCTAAGCAGTGTCACTTAGAGGGGAGCTAGGAAGGGCTTTGGCCGAGATCCTGTCTAACTGTGTCCCCCAGATAGCATTAGAATCTTGGCTCTGAGTGTGGCAGTGTGAGAGGTGGCAGAGCATTAGGTGTTGCAGCTGAGTGGAACCTGTTGATGACTAAGGACACTGTCCTCAGACGGGAGTACGAACTCCTCCTGGGACCGCAATATGTTTTCCTAAGAGGTTGCTATAAGAGTAAGCCTGCGCCTTAAGCACAGTCTCTGAACTTGACCCTGCCCTCTCACATGCACCCTTATCATGAGACCATTCTTCAAGACATGATGTAGGCAGGGGGCCCTGGAGCCCACACTGTGCTAAATGGTCTTTGAACTTTCAGAACTCCAATATTTGTCTTAGAAAGTACCTGGTATCAGGTGTTTTGTCTTAGAGTAGGAAATGCAGGAAGTATGAAATGAGACTTCATTGTATAGTATTTTCTAAGACACAGAAAGGTTTTTTTTTTAATAATTTTTATTTTATTTTATGTGTGAAGGTGTCAGATTCCTTGGAACTGGTCGTACAGATAGTTGTGAGCTGCCATGTGGGTGCTGGGAATTGAACCCAGGGCCAATTTGGAAGAGCAGACAGTGCTCTTAACCACTGAGCCATCTCTCCAGCCCTCAGAAAGGTTTTTTTTAAATGTAATGACCTAATGGAATATGAAGGAACTGTTTGCTATAATTTACTTAATTCTGAGTTTGTTTATTTAATTGTAACACTGCCCAATAGGACCAATTTCAACATTCAGCTTCCATGAGCCACAACCAACCCAGTTCCATATACCCTGGGGTGAATCCACATAAACATTAACTCTAAAGCAAGCTACTTAACCCTAACCACTGCTTCCAATATTGCTGCAGTTCACCCGACCAGTCAGATCTCACGGACAAGAAAGTGGAAGGTCGCTCCTCAGAGGTGTTCTATATAGTTACTGAGAAAAAAAAACATTTCTGAGACCAGGTAGTGTCAAAATAATCTTGAAAGAGGGCTGGAAAGATGGCTCAGTGATTAGAAGCAATGGCTGCTCTTCCAGAGTGCTCAGGTTCAATTCCCAGCATCCAGCGGTGACTAACAACTGTGTGTAACTCCAGTTCCAGGAGATCCAGTGCCCTCTTCTGGCCTCTGTTGGCGCTGCATGCATATGATGCACAGATATACATGCAGGCAAAGCATCCATACACATTAAAATACAAATAACTTTAAAATAATAATCTCTAATTAAAGACAGAGGTCCAGGCGAAGTGTAGCTCACACATGTAATCTCCAACACTCAGGAGCCTGGTCCACATAGTAAGACCCACCTTTTTTAAAAAATGAAAGCAGAGAAATGATAGTTTCATCCCATAATCAGTCTTATCCTAAAATAAAAACTCATAAAATAACGAAGAAATAGGTTAACTTTATATAAAATGGGCCAAAATAATCAAGAAACAACTAATCAGTGGAGCTAACTTAAAAGCCACAAGGTAAAGGTGTATGCTGCTCTAATTTCTGCAAAACAAACACATAGATAGACGTACACTAAAAAAAGCTAAACTCACGTAATGATCTTGCAAAACTAGAAATGGTTCTCTTTCTAATTATCATACCACCTCTGACACAATAAATAATAAATAAATAAATAAATAATGAACAATAAATAATAGCTCAAACTTTGCCTTCTGTGTCACTCCTTATAAAAAACAATGTGCCTGGTACCGGGGAATTGTAATTCTTCCCCTTGTAGTCTGTCAATCATGACCTCAGTTTGTAAAGATCCTCTCAATTCCTAGGTGTCCAGTAAGAACCATAAACTGTGTGCAGGGTACACAGACCATGAAGGAGCTAGCTTAGCATTTCATTCGTCTCTAAGATTCTGGAAATGCTCACTGTGCCCTGGCAGAGAGGCCCAATGACCCCTAGGATTAGACCCGTCTTCCATAGTGCGGAACTGTTAGGAAGCTCCCTGCCACCACACCCTTTGTATCTACACTGAACTTTCTAGTCAGTGGAAGTTGGGCAGAAATAAGAAATCACCTCCCAGAGAAGTGACTCTTAGGTCTCCCTCCCCTCTGCTAATTCAGAGCTGAAAGACTCCTAGATCCAGGAGGACAGCAAGGCTTAAAAAAGAAGAAAAGAAGGAGGAGGAGGAGGAGGAGCAGCAGCAGCCGCCTAAATCCCTGAAGCATGATTTGAAAAGTCTGTACACATACAGGAAAAAAAGAGTGTGAGTGAACAATTCACTTCTGTAAAGCTAAGCCTTGGAGCTTGAAGGCTTTAACCTGGATAAGCCCCAGCTCTCTGTTTCAGCGCCTACAATGCCTAAAGGGAAAAGAACATCTTATCAGCCCTGTGCTGTCTGCTGCTTGTGAATTGCTGTAGAGACATTACGTGACCAAGTTTTTCCAAATAGACAAGAGATGAGTTGCCTCTTACGTACACAAAACTATTCCTAGTCATCTGCAAGATGCCCCCACCATGCTTCTGAGATGACAAATGGCTTTCCCTGGGAGAGCTCGATGTTCTCACCACGTATGAAGGACTGAAAACCTTAGCTTAAGCACACTTTGGATCAACACTGTTTGGGGCCAAAGATCTTCACAAGAATCAAATGTTTGAAAGTGCAAATTCTCTCTCAGAGTAGACACGCACCGCACCGCACCACATTGTGCCAGTGTGCAGTGCTTCCTTGTTCCACAGGGCCTAGGTCAGACGTTTACCTTTGAACCAAGATTTGAGGCTAAAAAGCATCCGCTGAGGTCAAAAGCACTGTGCTGAGAGTCAGAAGCTAGGAGCCTGCATCGCCACCTGGATACCCAACTCTGAACTCAGAGTTCCTCCCCAACTCTGAACTAAAGAAAAAGCAGCCCTCAGGGAATGAGGTGTGGACGGAAGTACAAGGCCTTCTAGCCTGAGAAGAGTGCTAATTTAATTGGCAGCTCATGCTGAACTGCTAATCTCTG